AATGTTTCATTTATAAATTTGTTATTTAGAAAGTTTAGTGTAACTTAGGGAAACTTCATTCGGTGTATCTTAATAGATGGAGAAATGCAAATAAAAGGGATACTGATTAAAATAGACACTAAAATTTTATCGTTGGCATTGACTGCAGTCGGAGAGCTGCACCAGAAGAACGTATACACCAATCTCACTCCGTGCCCAGCTCCTCTTGACCTGGGCCTCTATGATAAGCGAGGTGGTTAAGGAAACAAGGACTTTCTACTACGAAACTCGTTGCTTGGGCTGATCTCTGTAAGGAACAAATAGATTTTCAAGCCTTTTTAAGGTGATGTTTCGTTATTACAGAAAGCTGTGTGCCTGCGCAAGTGGTGGCTGCCATTGATGTGAACACTGTTGCTAACGAAGTGTACAAGTATAATTTCCCTGACACGGTACTACTGCCCAAGACAATCGACGTGAGTAATGGTTATTCTCGATTTAATAAATATATCAAAAGGACAATCTTTTAATAACAATATAGAAATGGAAAAAAGTTTAAGACAGGGAAATTAACATTTTTTATTTCATGACAAGAAAGCATGCTTCTAAAATAAATAAATAAAGTTTAGAGGAAGATACTGAAAAGTGGTCTCCAAGAGAGAATTAACGTGTAAGGAAAGGCCTAACTTCTAGATGCTTAATTCTGTATGATAACAAATTATTTTATTTCTTTACTTTTGATTAATACTAATATACCTTATGGGACTAACAAAGGAAGACAATTATGGACTATTACCTATTGAATGGTTCTTATTTTAGAAAGCTTGCCCAACTTAAACCTAATACCTCATCCATAATGAACTCAGCAGACGTGCTTAAACTGTATGTAAATTGGTCACTGTGAGAGTTCTCAGGAGAAAAATAAGATGAATGAAATCTTTAAAAATGAATCTAAAATTGAGGTAAGGGAGGAGAGTAGTCACTAAACAGAGTGCTTGGGAAAGAGGAGTAAGTCTGACCTGAACATTGAGTTCGTTTTAATGGTGGTGGAACAATTGGGAGAGGGATATCATCATGGTTGTACAGCACAAAGAGGGTCATCAGTGGCACTGAATTATGCATATAGAAGTTGTGGAATTGGAGAATGCTTTGTTGTGTATATTTTTGCCAAAATTGAAAAAAAAAATTACATGAATAACAATGAGTACAAGGAAAAAGAAAATGTTCTGAAATTGATTGTGGTACAGATTGTACAACTTGATCTCATCCTGTGACCTCACAGAACCACAGAGTAGAACCACCACTGTGGGTTTCTGAGGTGGTAAATCTTCACGGGAGTAGAAAGCCTCGTCTTTCTCCAGAGGAAAGGCTGGTGGTATCGAACAGCTGGTTTTCCTGTTAGCAGCCCAGGGTGTGCGCCACCAGGGTTCCTGCAAATTTCTTCCATGTCTGTCCTCAGGCAGAAGATGGTGAAGATGAATCACTCCATGGGGGCGCGATTCATAGAGGGCAGGGGTATAGGATGGATAAGGGGAGTCCAACCATTATCTTGATTTGGAAATAGAAATGTCTTTTAAAATTTGATGTAAGGATCATTAAAGAATAACAATGAGACCGGGAGGCATTAATAAACCTACTTTACAAACTTAAAAAAAAGATTGTACAACTCTTCTTGATATAGTTGAGCTATTGAATTGTATGGTAGGTGGATGAAGTAAAACTGTTAAAAACAAAAGTAACACTGTTAAGTAAACAGTAAAAACAGCCAAACTGCTAAAAACAAAAGATTCCTCTGATTTGATAGGAATACTTGTGGACTTGCCTTGGGCAAGCAAACCTCAGTGAGATGGGTGGACACAGTTCTTGCAACAAGGGGCTCAAGCACAGGCACCGATTGTGAGGCTGGCCGACTGAGAGATGTTTTGCTAGTTATGCAGAGAGTTGCTATGAGTCAGAACTGTTTGGGCAACAATAGCTTTATTTACCTGTAGAGATGCTGATGCTCTTTATCTTTAGTTACCAGACATTGTATGCTTCTAGTAGAACTGTTGTAAAAATGATTGTTTTCATTGTACTTTAGTTTTAGGAATTCAGCTGTCATCCTTCATGCGAGTGTGACCCCCCAGGAAGCTGCTTATCGTAATGGCCCCGTGCTGACAGACCACTGCGTGTGATGTGCTCTCTGATTATACTGCCCCGCCTTATGGTTTCCTGGCACACTGCTCTGTGCATGCTTTTGCACTGTTTTCCTTAGATCCCAGGCGTCCAGAGCTACTTTAGGCATTTTTCAAAATTTAGCTTTAATTTTATTTTACAAATAAATCTTGTAATTAAAAAGCAATGGACAAGCACATTCGAACTTAAAATCATAAAGACAACTGATATGTTGTAGGGTAGCCTGTTCCTGACAGAACTCAGAACAAAGCCTCTTCTCCTTTGTACGAATGTTGGACCTTCTTCAGTATGCCCCATAGTTAGGGAGCCTGTGGCGCTGGCCTGGTGACTTAAAATTTCACAGTTCAGTATATGCACTAAAATTCTAGATGAAAGTTGGCAGATGAAGGCCTGTTTCTCTATCTTCTGATATATAAAACAGGTACAAACTAGCACATTTCTTCACTGAGTGAATTACTGTGATTAATCTTGTCTGCAATCTTTTGAAGCTCTTATTGTATGTTACTGAATGCTCAGTAATATATTAAGCTTAGATGTCTGAAAAAAATGATCTTTTTTCCCATTTGGTGATATATTAACATATACATATATGAAAGGGGTGAAGAATAGTCATACTTATTTGCTAATAAAAATATTATTGATAGTCACAATTTTCTCACATGCTTGTTCAAAGTCATTAATTGTGTAATTCTCCGTTTTCTGACCCTAGAAGGCAGAACAAGTTATACTTGTGGCATCAACAAAATCAAGACTTGATGGTCGCTGTGTGCCCTTGAGTTGGTCCCAACTTAGTGACCCCCGTAGAGCTGCCTGCTAGGGCTCCTAGGCTGTAATCTCTGTGGAGGGAGATCTCCAGATCTTTATCCCTTGGAGCCACTGATGGGTTTGAACCACGGACTTTTCAGTTAACAACCAAGCATCAACGGTATAAGGTGTCATAAGGCAAGAAGAGGCTGGGATCCAGCAGGCTAGCCTTACTTCTTTCCTTTGATTCCTAGTGGGGACTTCAGGGCAGGTGTTTAATTCCTCAAAGCTCTACTTAGCTCATCCAGTTTCTTCACAAGATTTTATTTGAGAAGTTAGCTTAACTGAAGTTTATTTTTAAAGTAGTAAGTTATATATATATATTTTCCTTCTATGTTTTTATTTTTTTCCAGCAGTTTTATTTGCAAGGAATTTGCCTGTCATATAATTCAGTCATTCAATCATATCACGGAGAATTGTACAATCACCCCCACATCAATTTTAGAACATCCCTCCTCCCCCATGGTCAAATTGCCTTGAAGATGATTCATGCAATCACAATCCATTCTAGTACTTCCTGTTCCCTCCAGTCTTCTGAAATCCCCTCTCCTCCTCCCCCTTACTCCCTGTATCTCCTTGTAGGTGTCATTATCATTATGCCTCCACTTCTCCTGTGCTTCACAGCTGGGAGACCCAACAGAAAATAATAGGAAACAAAATTGCACTGAGGTGGTAAGGGTAAAAACATAATAGTATACAGTCAAAAATACTAATAATACGTAAGAAGCAAAAGATACTCAGCAATAATCAAGAGCCAGGGAAGAAATTTCTGTCATAGAGTCAGAAAGCTATATATTTTAAATTGCTATAATTCTGAACTACTTGCTAGCTCTAACTATTTAATATTTTTCCTTCTTCCCCACTCTATGCATGTTTTAATACTACCACGCCGTTCACCCCCCCACTGCTTCCCCTGTTTTTATTCCTTAGGGCATTACACTTGAAGAGTTTGATAGATTATCTTTTGATATGATTTTAATGAGCCCTCCATGTCAACCATTCACCAGGTAGGTATAATAAATATTTTTCTCCTGAGGAAGAATAATTTTGAAGAACTCATTAAATAAAGTCACACCATATTTGTAGGGACAGATACAAACTAGTGAAGCTTGAATGTGTGATTTTTCTATTTCCTAAAATTTGGATGTACTTTTATTCTGATTTTTCTGATTTATAGTATATTTTTATTAATTCTGTACAATTTGACTATGTGTTGTGGGGAATATAGCTTAAATGGAAATCTTGACTAATGAATCTCTAGATATCTTAAATAATACTAATAACCTGATTCTTTAAATAACAGTCTTCTAATTGTTGACAGCCATTGCTGTTATCATTAGAGGTGAGAAACTGAGGCATAGAAAGTTTGTTAACAGGGGTTTACCTGGAGAGCAAATGTTTTGAGAATGATGAGGGTAACGAATGTACAAATGTGCTTTATACAATTGATGTATGTATGAATTGTGATAAGAGTTGTATGAGCCCCCAATAAAATGATTTAAAAAAGAAAGTTTGTTCAGTAACTTCCCCAGAACCATAAATTTAGAAAATGTTAGATCTTGGATTTATCAATGATTTAAAATATTCCTACTATTATGTAATATGATTGTAAGTGGGATATCACATGTGGTAAGTATTGTAGCTCAAAAGAAGATGCTTATTTTTAATTCCCATTTAAGTCTTGATTTACTTATACAGCTCTTTAGGAAATTATTTCCTCAATGATGTATTATGCACCGACAAGGAGGTCATAGAAAAATGGAATTTAAATATCATGCAACTTTCCCGCGAACATTCTGGGACCCTTTGTGTGTTCCCGCCAAACACAAACTCGCTACCATCAAGTCAATACTGACTCCTAGAGACCCTGTAGGACAAGGCAGGGCTTCCCCTTTGAGTTTTCAAGGCTGTGTTTACGAGTGGAGAGAGCCCTGCCTTCCTCCCGAGGGGCGCTGGTGGTTTCGAACTGCAAACCTAGTGGAACACAGCTCCTCACGTAACCACTCCACCACCAGGGCTCCCTCATATATCCCTGCCTTTGTTTTTGATGCTATGGTTCTCCTATTGGGGGAGCTCTTTGTTTAATGGAAATGACTGATAAGTAAATGATTAGTTTGTAATGTGCTTTAAGATCTACTTAATAAAAGAATACTGAAAGTGCCATGAGAACAAAGGAGGGAATGGCTCGCTGTGTGCCCCCTGCGAGGGAGCCACTGTGGATTTCCCTGGGAGCGCGGCCTTCCGAGTCCTCGCTGAGCTGGTCCCCGAGCGAGCGGAATATGGAGGCAGATGTTCCGTGTAAAGGGAGCCGGAGCATCTGCAAGAGTAGGGCTTGCTTAAAAGGACCGTAAGTCGGACATACAGAACTGCGTGCAGCCCCGGCCTGTGAAGCAGCATGTGCTACTGCAATAGGCCTCTCTGTACCTTCCCAGTACCATCGCACCCTGGATAACCCACTCTGACGGCTGATGCTGACAGCAGCAAAAACTCTGACCCTGCAGGCTCATCTGAAACTGAGGAGCAAAAGACAGAATGGGAAGAGCCGGGGTTTCTGAGGGATCTTTGCGAGCCCAGTCTAATTTTCCAGCCGAGCCTGAGGTCCACTGATGGTTTGGGCTCTGTTGCCAGGTCTGAGGAAATGGGCAGGTGATGTCAGGTCACTTACGGTATTTTCGATTATGAATCTCGTAAGCAGCAAGCACTTAACCCCTTGCTTTCTGTTTCTGGTATTCAGCCCCAATCCAGGTTGCCCTTTCAGCATTACTTGTAGGATCCAATTAGTAGTCTGTTACATGACCTATCTTGACCTTCTGGTGGCACTGTCAGGTCAGCACTGGGCTGCTAACCCCAGGTTGATTGTACAAACCCACCAGCCAGTGAGAACGACTGTCTGCTCCCATAAAGACGTTTAGCCTCAGAAATCCTATGCAAGATTACTGAGTCAGAGCCGACTCGACGGCAGTGGGTTTGTGTTTTCTTTTTGAACCTAGTTAGTCAAACCATGTGCAACTTCTGCTTGTAGAATAAAACCTCAAGTTTAAGTCTCTCTTGTCTACATTGGACAACATGAGCAATTACTAAGTCACTAATTTGATCTGTTGAAGCGGTCGCTAGACACAAGTTACTGCTCTGCCGGACCAGCTCATGCTCTGAACTCTTGTCTTACCTGGAGCAAAGCAAAAGGTGCTAGCAGCCAACATGTGTGTGGGGGGCATGGTGTATGTCCCCTAAAGACTTCTTTTCTTCACTTAAGTCATTTATCATATTGCTTTGTCTAAGAAATTTTAAGTGCTTACTCATTAGATATGCATGATTTAAAATCGCTAAACAAATGCACCTGCTTTTATATAAGCAAAGATGATTATTTTTGGGTGAGGACAAAATTGTTTTCATTCTCTGGAGTTTGATTATTTAAACGACCTATGATAAACTTATATGTGCATTTTTTATGACTTAGAATTGGCCTGCAAGGTGATAAGACTGATCCAAGGACAAGGAGCTTCTTGTATGTTCTAGATATTCTCCCAAGGTAAAAAGCAAGCTTACCTTAATGTCAGACTTGGAAAGAATTTGATGTTTGTTGTCTTGTCGGGATGAGCAGCTTATCCACATTTTTTGTGCCTATCATTTATCTTCTACAGCGTGACTAACAGAGTAACTCCAAACATCTCCTGGTCTCACTGTTGTGGGAGGGACAGGGAATTACAAGTCTATCAGTTACGTTCTGTTGCTTCTGTGAATGTTGCTAATGCTAATGAATGCAGTTGCCCTGGTCCAGAAACTTGGACAAACCTAAGGGTTTTCTTTGTACACAGAGCCTCTCTGTGAATCCTTGTTTTTAGATTAGCAGCAATGGAAGTGAATCCATCAAAGGTTAGCTTTATTAGGTGTACAATATTTTATGGGAAAAATGACTAAATTATGAATTGTCTCCATCCCTTACAAAATTCCTTTGTAAAAAGGAAAAATTCCTTTGTAAAAAGAAAGCTCAAAAGTGTACTTGCCTCATGTATCTCCCAAGTAATGATTTTTCCTTCATTTTTACAACTTCTCAGTAGTGAGGTCCTTGGAATTTCATATGTTGTTTTCGTTGTTGTTTAGATTGCAAAAAACACCAAAGTATATTGTTTTAGAAAACGTCAAAGGTTTTGAAATTTCCTCGACAAGGTAAAAAATGTATTTGTCTTGTGTATAGTTTAGACTTGGAATGTTTTATAGTTGGAACTTTTGAAATACAGCTCCTAGAATTGAACACGTACATTCTGATATTTTTATGTATGAGGTATTTTATTCCTAAATAGTGAGTTTTAATGATATTGATTATAATGTAAAGTAGTACAAAGTTTGGTTCAACTGATTCCTTCTCCTGACAGATTTTGATTTTTTCCAGAATGAGCACTAATTTAAGTGAAAATTGTGTCTCCTTCAATTTTGGGTGCTCTTCTGGGGTGCTTTTTAAGGAGCCTTGGTGCAGTGGCTAAGCACGGGGCTGCTAGCCCCACTGGGCAGGTCAACTCTGTCTGTCTATGTTGTCAGTATGAGAAGGAATGGGGTTAGTGGGTTCTTGATGCCCATGTTTTCAGTAGGAATTGCTCTTGTTGAGAGGCGGGTTTGGAATTCCCTTGAAGCAGCAAGCCCTGGGCAGAGCCCTTTGAGATGGCAGCGTAGCTGGAGAGGACACTTCCATATGCTCTGACTCAAGTGGTGTCTGTGACGGAGTTCCATTGCTCTTAGCAAATCCATCCTCAGAAGGATGGGGCTTCTAACTCCCACCAATTTGGATACAGTGGCTTTCTATATTTGCCTTAGAGAATTATGTATATAATTGTCTTTAAAGCAATTTCTCCAGCACAGGGGTTAGTAAAGGTTTAGGATCATTCTTTTTCTAAGCAACTTGAGTAGAGGGACAGTGTTCAGTTAAAATGAGATTTTGTGTGTAATATTGTAAATGTAATAATCCTGTTTCCAACTCTAGGGTGAAAACTCTTACTTTTTTCCCTCCTTTAGGGAACTATTAATAGAAACAATAGTGAACTGCGGCTTTCAGTACCAAGAATTCCTATTATCTCCAACCTCTGTAGGTATCACAAATACATGCATGTATGTTTTGTTTGAAAAATACTTTTTATAGAATATACCAGAGGATTTAAAAACTTATGAAAAACGTCCATTATCTTTTTATCCTATTTTTTGCCCAAATGTTTTAAAGCCCGTATGTATATGTGTAATATTAACTTGAAATCTCTCTCATCAAAGGAATTTGATTCAACACACAGAATGGATGGTTATAAAATAATATTTAGGTAAATTAAAAAAATTAGGTAAACCTTGGAATTAGTTCAGACATAAATCTTAACTTTCTGAAGAATGTAGTATATGTCTGTCGATTCTTTTATACATGTTTTATTAAAAGATAATATAGACTATATAGCTTGAAGCTAATATAACTTGTGGTAATGAAGAGATTATACAGCTTGAAGCTAATCTAGCTAATATTAATACTGTATATAGCTTGAAGCTAAAAATAATGCTAGCTGTATTAGCTTTACGTTTTATAAAGTATATATATTTTTTCTCCACATGAAAAGTAAAAGTATTTTCTTTTGAAAATATGTGGCTTGAAAAAAAGTCTTTTAAGCAAGTATGTGGCTTTAGTATAAAGTACATGTGCTAAAGCTTAATAATGCTTCTAAACGATCCAAAATAGAAAAAAAGCAGAATTAGAAAGAAAATAGAATGAGTATATGATAATTTTCTAACTCTTTAGTGATATAATATTACCTTACTTATGTTTTATGGAGAAGAATTGAAGTAATTGGTTATGTTCAGATATTTGGCAGATCTTTGATTTTGCAAGTGTCAGTTAATTTTCCTTCTTACCACTTTAGATATATCATACAGTCCTTTCCCCTGAAACGTAAATACGTATCACAAATAAGGTATACATTCTGTGGAAGTTGGAACTATATCTCAGCTCTTTAAATGTATGTCATTTATTGCCTTTAAGGCACCACGGGGGCACCGTGGATTAAGCACTGGGCTGCTAATTGCAAGGTAGGTGGTTCAAACCCGCCAAGGACTCATAGTAAAAGGATGATGCTGTCTGATCCTGTAACAATTTACCGTCTCTGAAAATCTATGGACCAGTCCCTCTCTGTCCTATAAAGTTACTATGAATTAGAACAGACTGTGGGGTTAATTTTCTTTTAACTTCTGAAATTTATTAAGTTCCCCTAGTGTTTTTAATAAAATGAGGTAATACAAGACCAAGAATACCTTCGAATTTCATTATTCTGTTATGAGTCATGGATGTCTATATAACTTATTACCTGAGAAATAAAATGAAAGTGACTAGCTACAGTGTATGGTTTATCAGATTCATATGTCTTAGTCATTTTCCATATCACATTCAAATCAGAGTACAGAACAACTAGTAAAAGGATTAAACGTTTCCACAAAGCTTTCTTCCACAAATCAATAGCAGAATTTGCTCAGGAAGAAGCTAAATATATTCCAGCATGAGTTTTTTTCCAAGTGGTTAATAGTTGGTGAAGATCCTTTTAATGCTCTGTTAACTCACTGCTGTGCTTGACTTCTAGCTTGGCATTCCAAATTCCAGACTGCGCTACTTTCTCATTGCAAAGCTTCGGGCTGAGCCATTTCCTTTTCAAGCCCCTGGTCAGGTATTATCATCATCCATTTATTTCCTGCAAGTATATCATTGTCTACTAATTCATTTCAAGAACGGATTTGGATAGATTGATATAGACTCCCTAGGACAGCGGTCCCCAACCTGTGGGTCGTGACCCCCTGGGGGGTTAGGGGTGGCATCGAATGACCCTTTCACGGGGGTCGCCCAATTCTTAACAGTAGCAAAATTACAGTGATGAAGTAGCAACAAAAATAATGTTATGGTTGGGGGGTCACCACCACATGAGGGTCTGTATGAAAGAGTCGCAACATTAGGAAGGTTGAGAACAGCTGCCGTAGGAGATCTGATAGCACTGTTAGATAAGCATTGGACTACTAACCATAAGGTTGGTAGTTCAAACCCACATGGCAGTGGGTAGGTCTATCTTCAAGGATTGGTGTAGTGGTTATGCATTGATCTGCTAACCCCAAGGTCAGCAGTTCAAAACCACCAGCTGCTGTGTGGGTGAAGGACGAGGCTTCTATTCCCATAAACCCACAGGGGCAGTTGGACCCTGTCCTGGAGGGTCACTGTGAGTCCGACTTGACTTGATGGTAGAAAGTGGTCTTTTGGGTTTATGGAACTTTCATTGCTTTAAACAAAACAAAGACTTTTGTTTCAGCATTAGGACGCAATAAGTTTGAGCTAAAAGTGCCACGAGTGCTGCTTCTGCCCCCTCCCCTCCATAATTGCCCCTCTGGCCACTGACAACCGTGCATTTACCATTTTCTTCCCTAACAGAAGCCACCACTGCTTTTGTAGGCGCCTGAGTGGCGAGTGGCGTAGTGGGGACAAGCTGGGTTGTGATCCACAACCTTTGCATTTTAAGACCAAAGCCTGCCTGGTGGGGCTTTCTACTCCAGCATAAAGTCACTTTTGGAAACTCTCGGTGACAGTTCTACCTGGCCTATGGATTGCATTGAGTTGGCATCAACTTCCTGGCAGTGGCGGCTGGTTCTGTTGAAGTTCAATAGGCTATCTTCAGAATGCCTCGAGAGTATTTGTTCACAACGGGTACAGCTTTGTTTTAGCTCGGTGAAAACATACTCATGATTCGTACAAGCCAGAATATCAAGCTCCATTGCCATCGCTTGGATCCCTCATTATGCGAGCGATTTTATGGACTTCGAAAAGGGGCGGTCCAATGAGACACAGGCTCATGAAATGGGTCACATCCATCACAGTTAAGCATCAAAAGTTCTTCACAAAGAACTAAGATAAGTTTTAACAAGAGATTAACGATGTCGCTTCAATTGCCTGTAACAATGCCAGTTTTTCTCTTCTTCCTTAGTGTATAAAATATATTTTAAAGTGCTTCATTATTAAAAATTCCTACAACTGTTTGTCTTTTAAAAATAGGACTTTCTGCATGATTTGGATTGTACAGAGAATAATTTTTCCTTAGGAACTCTTGAGTATGAAAAACCTTTCAGTGTGAAAAGTGTTTTTTTTTTAATCACTATTTTTCTTTTAAGACATAGGAACTTTCTAATGAAAGGAATATGACAAACTGTGGTCCCGATATATTTTCTAGAAATGGTATTGTTGCTTTTTAAACTTTCCCCCCAAATATGGTGCTGTGTCTGTAGTCAGCATGCTTTCTATTACTTTGTTGAATGCTTTGATTAACACAGAGAAAAAGCCATAATCAACCATGAGAAGCGTGATGGCACTATAGCCATGTGGTGAGAAACTTGTGAAATCCTGTAACAAAAACAAGGAGACCAATAGCAATTGAGATTTTTGCATAATGTTGACTCCTACTGCCATCTGATTGATTCCGGTTCAGTGCTCTGGTGACCCTTTATAGAGTTTCTGGGGCTATACATTTTTATGGGCGCAAACAGCTCCATCTTTCTCCCACAAAACAGCTGGTGAATTTGAACCACTGATCTTGACGTTTGCCATCTAAACCATACCCTACGGTACCACCAGGGCTCCTTATATAATGTTGACAGGCTATTATTGATTTGTCTTCCTTTACAACAAACCTTTTGACCATGTGTGCATGTTTACTGAATTCTAGGTGCTGATGGAATTCCCCCAAATTGGATCTGAAAATCTGCACAAAGTTGCTGTGGATGCAGAAAAGGAAATTGAACCAAACGTTTGCCTGGATGGCAGCCCGAAACGCTCTAGGAAAGAAGCTGTGCTTTTTAAGCGTGAGACCACAGAAGACATAGACAGGAAACACCAACAGAATAGCGATCTCTCTGTGCAAACACTGCAAGAGTTCCTCGAACCTGACGTTGACCTCCATCAGTACTTTTTGCCGCCAAAATTATTGCAGCGCTATGCCCTCATATTAGATATCGTTACACCCACGTGCCGAAGATCTATGTGCTTTACTAAGAGGTAGGTTTTAAAAGAGACTGTTCATGTTATCGCCAAAATAATTAGAGTCTAGATTTTGTTTTGTTTTTTTGTTTAAAAGTCTTTCTCAAAACGACAAGAACAATTTTATAAAATGTTTCTGCTAGAATGTGTTTTTTTTCCCCTTGCCCTTAATTGCCTGCCTCACGTGGCAGTAGAATGCACCTGTGGAAATTCTTTCTATGTCCAGGACCCACCAGAGTCTTCATGAATGACAATGCCACGGTTGATGACCTTCACAGGAGCTTAATCATCAGTGGTGAAAAGATGGTGAATAGATGATGAATTGTTCATCTTTTTACCACCTGTTTTCTTTTGCTTTATTTTTTAACAATTTTATTGGCACTTCATCCATGTGTCATATAATTCACTAATTCAGTCATATCAAGAAGAGTTGTACAGTTGTCACCACAATCCATTCTAGGACATTTTATTCCTTATACTCATTGTTATTCATGTAATTATTATTTTTTCAATTTTGGCAAAAATATACAAAAGAAAAGATTATCCAGTTCCCAAACTTCTACATTTATAATTCAGTGCTTTTGATTATACTCTTCATGGTGTGTAACCACTACTGATAGTCTTTTCCAAATTACTCCAGCACCATTAACACCAACTCAGTGCTCCCTAAGAGACGGCTCTTCCTCCTTCACCCATGGTCACCAGTGGTCACATTTGGTTTCTTTTCCTCGTTTTCTTGAGGTAGTATTCATGTATCACACACTTCCATCGTTAAATCACATTTTAAAAGAGCTGTGTATACATCATCACAATCAGTTCTGATGCTCCCTCTCACCTCCCGCATTCCTTGTTTGCTCCCGAAATCCCCTCCCCCTCACACCCCTCCCCCCTACTCCCACGCCCCCCACCTCACTGTTTTTCTTTCTTTTTTTTTTTTGACCATTTATTGGGGGCTCGTACAATTCTTATCACAATCCATACATACACCCATTGTGTCAAGCACACTTGTACATTTGTTGCCATCATCATTCTCAAAACATTTGCTTTCTACTTGAGCCCTTGCTATCAGCTCCTCATTTTTACCCCTCCCTCCCCCCACCGTTTTTCTTTATAGTACATGAAACTCATAGATTTATGTTTTATCTCATGATTGGTGTGTTAGAAGAATTGAATTTTAATCTAAAGAAATAAAATTGGATCCATTGGAAGACATTAATTTCCCAGTTTAAATTTTATTCAAATTTTTAAATAGATTATATGTTCTCATGCCTCAAAATTCAGTAGGTTCTAAGGTTGTAAGACATCCATTTGCTTCTGCCCCTCCATCACAGCTTTCCTCCCTGACACCAACCAAGGTTTTCAGTTTACTCAGTAACATTCCAGAAATATATGTGAGGTTTTATTTAAATATACATGCATGTTTTTATTTCCCCTCTAAATAAACAGCATAATGTACCTGTATACATGATCGCTTACCTACTTTTTCACTGCACAGTATAAATCAGTCTGATGCTACTTCATGTCAGTGCACTGAGAACTTTTCAAATTGCGTAGGATAGGTACATCATCATTTTTGTAACTGTTACTTACTGATGGACATTTTGGTAGCTTCTTTTGGCCTCTTTATTGAATTCCATCCATTTTTTTAAACCTAGAGAGAAAACTAGGCCATCTCAGAAACATGTTACAAATGATCCAGATGTCTGCTTTGCACTAACGCCACCGAAATGTCACTGGAGAGCTGGGAGCTCTCGTGAGCTGTCTGACGGCTCACGACAGGCACCGTGCCCCCGAGATGGTCCTCTCAGACTCGGTCTGACGTTATCATGTCTGCCCTCGTCCTTCCGGGAAAGGGTTTATTGCTTTCCATGAACTGAAAAGACTTCCCTCAGCCATGGTCCGTTACCAAGTTCAATAGGATCTGTTTAGGACTCTCATAAAACAAGACATCAATTTTGTCATAAAAAACAACCTTGAAATTCTTCTGTAATTAGAAAGATGATATAAAAGAAGCTTTACTGTAAACATCTGTTTTAGTGGGACGACTACATATACATGTGCACATGTGTATACAGGGTATATATGAGAAAAACATTTGAGATAAAATTTTTCCCTAATGTAACTTTATTCTCTAATTTTTATTGCAACTGATTTGGAAAAATGATAGTATGCTCAACAGCAACCTGGTGATTGTCTGCTAGAAAGACATTATTACTGATAGATTGCATTTCTGTAGTGTACTTTTTGTACACCTCTTTTTGTTATGCAGTGGCCTAACCTGTGTGAAAAAGACAGTAAGACATACTGCATGACACTGAGAGACAGACAGAGGTGTGGTGGCCTGTGCTCGCCATGGTGTAGTAAGTACACCTTCAAGTTCCTGTGAAGAAATTACATTGGAATTATAAAAAATAGGAGGAGAGTGGGTGAGAATGAGCTGATACCAAGGGCTCAAGTAAAAAGAAAATGTTTGGAAAATGATGATGGCAACATATGTACAAATGTGCTTGACACAATGGATCGATGGATTGTGATAAGAGCTGTAGGAGCCCCCAATAAAATAATTTTTAAAAATAGGAGCAATTTATTTTCATGTACAAAACATTTGGTTTAATATGACCAGGATTCCAAAAGTGTGTTGCATTTGAATTTAAAGTCATAACAAATGCATGTTTCTTTGTGGGCAACAGTGGAGATGTGATAATAAATACAAAGAGATGCATAATTAAATGGTATTTACCCCCCTTAAAAAACACAACCAAACAATTCCAAGTTCAGTTTCTAAGAAATTTAAATAGAAAGATCTTACCTAAATCACATTGTGATTTTAACATAAGGCATATGTATGTAATATTGATCTGAAGATTCTTGAATGATGTAACTATCTATATTGATTTATTAATGCCCAGAAATGTTTAAGAAATTTAGCATTAGCAAATACATTAGGTGCTATATAATGTTTTGTTAATTTTTCAGTTATGGAAGCTTTGTAGAAGGTACAGGATCTGTGTTACAAACTTCAGAAGATGTGCAGGTACTATGTAAGTTTTAAAACTAAGTTAAAACATTTGAAAATAGTATTTAAAATAGACTTATGTTTAACACTTAATTTAAGGATATTAATATTACCTGGTCACTTAAGAATAAATATATATATACATATAAATTTATATAAACATCTATATGGATAGTCTACAAGGAAAGGTTTATATTTTAGTAATTTCCTGCTTATTCTTACTTTCTGTGTTGACTTTTTATTCTATAAATAGTAAATTGAAATTCAGCATCAATATTTAATGTTCTCTAAAATTAAAATGAATCTTAATATTGGAATATTCCTTTGAGGGACATTCTATGAAACTACCTTTATAAGGGAAAATAATCTTTATTTTAGCATTGTTCTGTTTTAATACTTCAGTTGTAAACCCTTCATGTTGCCATATTTGAGTACAGGCACAGCATATACACATTTTATATAGTCTGGACATGAGATTCCATTCTCTTCCAGATGCTAATTTGCTTCTCTTTCTACTCACAATGGTACCCTTGATCAAATACTATTATATGCATCCTGACTCACAGTGACCGTCTCTAGAATTTCTAGGACCAAAAAAAAAAAAGAATTTCTAGGACCGCAAACCTTTATGGGAGCAGACAGCTGTATCTTTTTTCTGCAGGGACTTATAGTCTTGGACACCTGAGGGAGAGTCACCGTTAGTCCTGTGGACTCCAGTGCAGTGGATTTTTTGTTTGACATTGAAATGCAAATAATGTCTGGATTTGATGTCATTTATTCAATATATTTTAAGAAAATATTCTTATTTGGTGAAATTAATTATAAATAACAAACTTTATAATGCTCTACTTATAAGCATTGTGAAATGGACTCCGTTGGTCACTTTACTTTAGATCTTTCATATACTCTTATCGTGAACTATAATGTGATATTATAATTTGTTATATATATTATTATTATTTAACCTCTGAGAGCTCAAAATGAAAAATACTGGCAAGTGTTATGGGTTATTCAACACCAAACTCTTTTTCCACGTTTAAGTGGCTAATAACAAGCCTGTTCTGCAGCTGTTTGCGTGCATTTTGCCCTGTGGCATGTGTTACATGTGTGAGGCTGTCAGGCCCCGTGAGCGTAGATAACAAACACATGTTATTGTTCCCATGCATTACAGCAGACAATATGTCCATCACTTTGAAACTGCCTCACAATAGGCCATCTTACTTTAAGAAATCTAGTTGCACACTATTTTATCAGTTATCCTGACTTTTTCTTACAGATTGAAAATATTTACAAATCTCTTAACAATTTGTCAGAAGAAGAAAAGGTAACAAAACTGTTACTGCTTAAACTTCGATACTTCACTCCTAAAGAGATAGCCAATCTCCTTGGATTTCCTCCCGAGTTCGGTATGTAGGATGCATGCAAACCTCCCTCTTCGTTGGTTAAGGGTCTCAGAATTTATTCAGGACCCTATGGTATTTCATGGTGTCTTCTAGACCAGCTGGAAGGCGATGAAAACGTCAGCCTCCGTTCCTGATGTTGCCATCCTCCAGCTGCGTTCTCTCCAGCTGCGTTCTCTCCACTACTGGCTCCATGTAGCCTGCCTCACTTAACTCTTTTTTTTTTATTTTTATTTTAAACATTTTATTAGGGGCTCATACAATTGTTATCCAGCACTTAACTCTTTTAACTGAAGTCTTCTCCCCTTTATTCCAACAGTGATCCCCAGTGGGAAAGACATGAGCAATGCTTC